CACTTCTGGTTCTATGCTGGAGAGGCCATTGCTTCTAGCAACATTTCAGCGCCCCTTTTCATTCTCACCCCTTACCATGAGCTGCTCCAAGCATCTGTAAGTCCAGTCAAATGCTGCACTGATGGCTGGACCACCTATAAGTTAGACCTCCATCTCCACATTGCCATGGCTATAGGCCCTTTCATGCTGCAGGTCCGTTGCCCATCCTGCAGTTGCTATGATTCAGAAGATAAAACACCCTTTTTGCACCTCCACACCCGTTCAAGTGGCCCCGACCGCTCACGCAGAGCGCCCAAAATTCCTTGGTCACCGGCTGCTATCGAAAAGCTCAGGAGACCTGCTTCTGACGACACAGATTGCAAAAGAGAACAGATAAAAATCTCCTTCGAAGACCTTGGCTGGGATAACTGGATTGTACATCCTAAAGCCTTCACCTTCTACTACTGCCATGGCAACTGCTCCAGCGCTGAGCGCATTACTACCATTCTTGGCATCAACCAGTGCTGCGCTCCTGTTCCAGAGAGCATGAAGTCTCTCCGTTTCACCACCACCTCAGATGGGGGATACTCAGTCAAGTACGAGACCCTGCCTAACATCATACCAGAAGAGTGCAACTGCATCTAACACTCTGCTGTGGCTTAGTTTAAGATTATCTGTAAAGTGCGCATATGTTTTTTTTTCAAACACAAATCAGCTATTTTAAATGAATGATCAAAGCAAATAATGTGTGCATTAAAATTGTGTGAAAGATATTTTCTCTGATTGTAAATGTAACTTTATCAAATGCTTAACTTCAGTAACATTACAATTTTGTTAATACACACCAGTTTTCTGTAAAACCTTGCTCAGTAATGTTGATCAAACATATACAACATCAAATGAGAACTTTTTGCAGTTTATTTCTTTATGTAAATAAGGCAATTTGTACTAAATTAAACAGCCATTTACGGAGAAAAGCATCTTAACCTTGTACACTAAGCTCTTAAAAAATAATTTTAAAATACTTAAATTACACATTGCCCAGATATCTATGACAATAAAGAACAAATGTTTGAAAAATAGACGAAGTCATGTGCACCTTCTACAGAGGCACCATCGAGAGCATTCTGACGAGCTGCATCACTGTGTGGTATGGTG